GAGCTTTACTCTGTATCTAACCCCGTGCTGTCCCTCTCCTGTGAGTGTTTGATGGGGACAGTGTAGAGAGAGCTTTACTCTGTATCTAACCCCGTGCTGTCCCTCTCCTGTGAGTGTTTGATGGGGACAGTGTGGAGAGAGCTTTACTCTGTGTCTAACCCTGTGCTGTCCCTCTCCTGGGAGTGTTTGATGGGGGACAGCGTAGAGGAAGCTTTACTCTGTATCCAACCCCGTGCTGTCCCTGTCCTGGGAGTGTTTGATGTGGGACAGTGTAGAGAGAGCTTTACTCGTTATCTAACCCCGTGCTGTCCCTGTCCTGTGAGTGTTTGATGGGGACAGTGTAGAGTGAGCTTTACTCTGTATCTAACCCTGTGCTGTCCCTCTTCTGTGAGTGTTTAATGGGGGACAGTGTACAGGAAGCTTTACTCTGTCTCTAACCCTGTGCTGCCCCTGTCCTGTGAGTGTTTGATGGGGATAGTGTATCATTCAGTATTAATGCTGGCATTATTGTGGTGAGCCTGGAGTCACACGTCAGTATGAATCCCTCAGGGTGATCGGTTTAATTCAGTGATCCCTGGAAGCTGATGGTTCTGTCTGTCCCCTGCCCTGACTGGATTACAATCCCTGCTCCGAAAGACTGTGGATCCCAAACCCTCTTACCTCCTTCTGATTTAACATGTCCGACTTGTTCATCCTCTTCATCGCGTACACCCTGTCCGTGTCCTTCAGTCTGACCATGGCGATCTAGCAGGGGGAACACAGGACACTGACTATTCTCCGCCCACCCCCAACCCAATGTCACCCACTGTGACGGAGAAAGGTCATGGCCCCCAAAACCCCCATTAACTCACCCAATCTGCTGAGACTGAAAGCTTTCCCCTGCTTTGCCACTCATTGGCATCATTTCTTGAGGATAATGGATTCTAGAAAAGGGAGTGGGAGTCGAGCGAAGGGAGATTGGAAGGGTGTTGAAGCCTGGAGGGTGATGGGTGACCCAGGAAGAAAAGGAGGTGGGAGGTGGAGGACCAGTGGAATGTGGAGAAGTGGGGGAGGAGGTTTGGAGGAGTGGCTATTATCGATTGACCTACCTTCCCTCCATTAAACCCACAAGCTATAGATCCTGTGTGAAATTGGAGCAGAATGAGGCCATTCAGCCCACAAACCTGCTCCACCATTCACTACCATCTTGGATGAGTAATTCAATACCCTAGAGCATGGACTGCTCGGACCTAAGGGTCTGTCTCTGTGCTTTATGACTCCACTCAACCTCTTGATTCTTTTAAACACCAATCGAGCGGGGGCTGCTTTGTCCTGGATGGTGTCGAGCTTCCTGAGCGTTGTTGGAGCTGCCCCCATCCAGGGCAAGTGGGGAGTATTCCCTCACACCCCTGGCTTGTGCCTTGTAGATGGTGGGACAGGCTTTGGGGGGAGTCAGGAGGTGAGCTACTCACTACAGTGTTCCTAGTTTCTGATCTAGCCAAGAGTATTGATATGATGAGAGATAGTAGGAACTGCAGATGCTGGAGAATCCAAGACAACAAGGTGCAGGGCTGGATGAACACAGCAGGCCAAGCAGCATCATAGGAGCAGAGAGGCTCTTCAGGTTAGGCATCCTTAGAAGAGGCTTCGCAGTGGGGTTAAAATTGAATCAGAGATAGTAGGAACTGCAGATGCTGGTCTTCAGGTTAGGCATCCTTAGAAGAGGCTTGATATGATGAGTCCAGTTCAGTTTCTGTTCAATAGCAATGACCCAGGATGGTCATTTCAGAGGTCAATTAAGGGTCAACCACAACACTGTGGGTCTGGAGTCACGTGTAGGCCAGCCTGGGTAAGGATGGTAGATTTCCCTCCCTAAAGGGTATTAGTAAACAAGATGGGTCTTTACAACAAACAATGATAGATTAATGGTCCCATGACTGAGACTATTTTACAAGTCCAGATTTTAATTTTAAAATGTCTGAGACCCATTTACAATTCCAGATTTTAATTTTAAAAAGACTGCGACCCATTTACAATTCCCAATTTTAATTTTAAAATAACTGAGACCGATTTATAAATTCAGATTTTAGTTTTAAAAAGACGAAGGCTAATTTACAATTCCAGACTAAATTTTTAAAAAGACTGAGACTAATTTACAATTCCTGATACGATATTTTAAGAGACTTGCAAGTTTTATCAACTGAATTTATGCTAAATATTGTAGGATTTGAACCCAATTACTCGGGGTATGGAGCCTAGACTTTATGGATTACTAAACCCAATGCCCGACTGAGCCACTACCTCCTCCCAACATGTCGATGGGGGGTTGAAGGAATGAAGATGAGGTAAGGTAGGAGGGAGCTAGTGTGGAACATGGACTAGTTGGGCCGAATGGCTGTTTCTGTGATTTAAACTCACTCTATTGTTAATCTCATGACCCTGGCTTTGTAGTATTGCCAAGTGGATGATATATTTGACCTTGGCAGTACAAAGACAGCTCATGGGATCCATGGGCTAATCCACCTGATATTTGAAGAAGAAAGACAATCACAGGTGCTGGTCTAACTTTGCTGAGGGTGACAGCGGAGTTATATTAAAAGAAAATCTAAGCCTGAGGACTGGCACCAGGGTTGCCTACCTCACTGAATGCTCCTCTGCCGATGACTTTCAGGATTTCAAAGTCGTCCTGTTGAAGCTGCAAAGTTTTCACCTCCCTCGCGATCGGCCGAGCTGGTCAAAATATAAAACAACAGGCCATCAGGAGCTCTGTTCGTGTGTGGGGAGATTACACACACCCCCACACAACAATATGGCACCTCCCACACTACCCCGCAGTGTCGGGAAAGGCGAAAAGACGGAGGGGAGGGAAAAAATTAAATACAGACCCCTTCACAGCGTCAGGCCACACCACAAAGGTGCTTCACCTGCACTTCCCACAATCTAGTCCACTGCATTCTCTGCTCACAGTGTGGTCTCCTCTACACTGGGAAAACAAAACGTAGAATGGGTGACCACTTCGCAGGACGTCTACATTCTTGTCTGCAAGAAAGACCCTGAGCTTTCAGATATCGGTCACTTTAACACACCACCCTGTTCCCTGGCCAACATCTCTGTCTTGGGCTTGCTGCTGTGTTTCAGCGAAGCTCAGCGCAAGCTGAAAGAACACCACCTCTTTTTCCACTTGAGGACCCTGCAGCCCTCCAGACTAAATACAGAGTTCAGTAACTTTAGGGCTTGAGCTATCCCATGTCCTTACTCTCATTCCCACACACCAGGCCCCTTGTTGCCACATAGTCTGCCATTACACACAACCCATTGTTAGCCACTAACAGTCCCATTAACGGCTATTCACTCCTGTCGCCTTATCATTATCCACTCCGTTCTCTATCCATCCATTGTCTTCTCTCTTTGGACTCTATCCCCACCTATCATTTACTTCTTACCTCCTTCCCTCCACCCTATCTTCTGCACATAAACCGACATTTTCCTACCTACCATCAGTTCTGAGGAAGGGTCACTAGACCCGAAATGTTAACTCTCATTTCTGTCCACAGATGCTGCCAGACCTACTGAGCTTTTCCACCAATTTCTGTTTTTGTCTCTTCTAAGGGCTGTAATGTACAAAACACGACAACCAATTTACTCACTGCAAGCATTAATGCGAAAATGACTGTTTTCAGTCTGGAGGAATTTCCAGGGAAGAGTGAGATCGGACTGGAAACCTTCGCTCTGTTGTTTCTTGTCTCCACAGATGCTGCCAGACCTGCTGAGCTTTTCCAGCAACTTTATGCTTTTGGAACAGTAGGCCATTCGATCTGTAAAGCCACCCCTCTGCTATTCAGTACTATCATGACGGATCAAACAAATTAATGCCTTGTATCCCCTCCATCCCCATAACCCTGTACCCCACTGCCAATCAGAAATTAATTAATTAATTAATCAGAAATTAATCAGGACTTATACAATTAATGGTAGGGCCCTGGGTAATATTGTAGAACAGTGAGACCTAGGGGTTCAGGTACATAATTCTTTGAAGTTTGCATCCCAGGTTAAGAAGGCATTTAGCACGCTTGCCTTCATTGCTCAGTCTTTTGAGTCTAGGAGTTGGGGACGTCATGTTGAGGTTGTACAGGACATTGGTGAGGCCTCTTCTGGAGCCCTGCGTCCAGTTCTGGTCGCCCTGTTATGGGAAGGATATTACCAAACTGAAGAGGGTTCAGAAAGGATTTACCAGGATGTTGCTAGGACTGGAGGGTTTGAGTTATAAGGAGAGGCTGGATAGGCTAGGAATAGTTTCACTGGAATGCAGGAGGTTGAGGGGTGACATTATAGAGGTTTATAAACTCATAAGGGGTATAGAGAAGGTGAATGGCAGGTGTCCTTTCCCTAGGGTGGGGGATTTCAAGACTAGGGGGCATATTTTTAAAGTGAGAGGAGAGAGAATTGAAAAAGACATGAGGGGCAACTTTTTTCACACATAGCGCGGTTCATGTGTGGAATGAACTTCCAGAGGAAGTGATGGATGTGGGTACAATTACAACATTTAAAAAACATTTGGATAAGTACATGAATAAGAAAGGTTTGGAGGGATATGGGCCAGGGGCAGGCAGGTGGGACTAGTTTAGTTTGGGATTATGGTTGACTTGGAGTTGTTGGGCCGAAGGGTCTGTTTCCATGCTGTACGGCTCTATAAACATAATCAAAAACTGAGCTTCTACAGCCCACTGTGATTGAGAAATCCAAACGAACACAACCCTCCGAGCAACATGATTTCTCATCTTCTCAGGTCTAAGTGGTGTCCCTCTCATTTTTAGATTGTGCCCCCTGTTTCCAAACCAGTGGAAAATATTATACCTGCAGCTACCCCATCCAGCCCCTTTAAGTATTTTCCAGCTCAAATCTCCAGGTATTTCCCATAATTGTAGGAGGGAGAATGTCCATGCTCTTATTCAATGCAGAGTCACCCAAGAAAGCAAACAAAGCTCTAATCTGGAGGGCAGCTCCTCTGACAGTATTGCACTCCCTCTGTTGTTGGTAGTGCAAGTTTCAGGCAGCTCATGGATTAGAGGGTCTGGAGTAGTCAGGACTCAAACCCATGATTTCTGTGCCTCGAGAGGTGCAAGCCATGACCACTGACCCATAACCAAGTCCAGAGGCTTGCTAGTTATAGAGCCACACAGCATGGAAACAGACCCTTCGGTCCAACCAGTCTATGTTGACCATTGCCCCAAACTAAACTAGTCCCACCTGCCACACTTGGCCCATATACCTCCAAACATTTCCCATTCATGTACTTATCCAAATGTCTTTAAAACATTGTCCTTGAAAGAAATTGCATGCCTCCCATTGGGTACCAACATGGATGTACAAAGGCATGAATTAGAAGGAGAAAGAGGCCATTCAGCCCCTCAATGCTGTTCCACCATTCAATGCGATTGTGTCGCATTCCACATTCTCCTGTAACTTGTGATTCCTTTTGTCCAAGACTAATCTATCCACCTCCACCTTAAAAAAAATGTATCAATGATCCCACCAGCTCCCTGGTGCCTTGATCCTCCAGCCCCATCCCAAAACTTTTCACAGATTTTCCTTCTGTTTGTTCACAGGATGTGGGCATCACCGACTGGGGTATGGAATTTATTGCCCATCCCTAATTACCCCCTGAGAAGGTGCCCGCTGAGTGTCTCAATGAGCTACAGGAGGGAGATAATGCGGGAATGGCATTGTTTGCCATAGAGCCAGCACGAACCCAATGACCGAATAGCCTTCTCCTGTGCTTTCTTGACTCCCTTCAGCCACAGTTATGTGGGTCTGGAGTCACATGTAGGCCGGACCAGGTAAAAGTGGCAGTTTCCTTCCCGAAAGGACTTTGGTGAACCAGATGGGTTTTTATGACAATTGACAGTGGTCACACGGTCACCTTATTTGTACACCAGCCTTTCATAAATATTGGCTTCAAGTTTCACTACCTTGGCCTGGTGGAAAGCACGGTGAGAAGCACAAAAGAATAGAATTCGACAGGAATCAAAACATGGTTTCATTTCGTTTCCTCAAGTCCAGAACCAGGGGGTCACAATCTAAGTAAGATCTATCCCTTTTCTGATGAAGTGTCTAGGCCCGAAACGTCAGCCTTTCTGCTCCTATGATGCTGCTTGGCCTGCTGTGTTCATCCAGCTATGCACCTTGTTGTCGAAGATCTATCCCTTATCCTCTACGTCCACTTAGGACTGGGATGAGGAGAAATGTCTTCACCCAGAGGGTGGGGAGCCTGTGGAATTCTCTGCTACACGAAAAGGTTGAGGCCAAAGCATTGAGTGTTCCCAAGAAGGAGTTAGACACAGTTCTTAGGGATGAAGGGTATGGGGGAGAAAGTGGGAACAGGGCGTTGAGTTGGATGGTCAGCCATGATCATATTGAATGGGGGAGCAGGCTTGGAGGGCCGAATGGCCTACTCCTGCTCCCATTTCCGATGTTTCTGTGTAAATACAGGCTACAGCCTGAGTTAGGGTGGAATACAGGATAAAACGGGATGTGGTGCCAGTTCAGTTGTCGGCAAATGACTAAACTGCTCCCAGCTGAGTGAAGTCATCCTCTTGATTGCATCGAGCACTGATCAAGGAAATTGGAAAACTGGGATAGGTCCCAGTTCTGCGACGCACAGCCAGTGTGGGGGTGGCCAGTTGCATTTCACAGCATAGAAGGAGACCTTTCGGTCCTTCGGGCCTGCGCCAGCTCTCCCAATGAGTGACCCAATTAGTGCCATTCTCCCTGTCTACCCTCCGCGGACCTACACATTCCTCCTTTTCCCGTCTAACTCCCTCTCAAATCCTCAATTGGATCTGCCTCCTCTGCACTCTCACGCAGTGTTTTCCAGATCCTAGCCACTCGCTGTGTGAGAAAGATTTCTCCTCAAGTCTCTTTTGCTCCTTCCACCAATTGTTTTCAACTGAGCCCTCTTCAGCCTTTCGAACGAGCGGGCACAGTTCCTCCTGTCTCCTCTGCCAGACCTTTTGTGATTTTCGACACTTCAATTAAATCTCATGGCCAGCTTTCTCTTCTTACAGCCCCAGCTCACCCAGTCAAGCTTCATGAGTGAGGTCCCTCACCCCCAAACCTACCTCAATAACCCTAGCTACTCTCTCTCCAATGCTGCAATGTTACACTCTTTTTCTGAGTTTATCTGATTTCATTTGATATATTTTTGTCAGATGTACCTAGTTACAGTGAAAAGTTTTGTTTTGCGTGCAGTACAGGCAGATCATACCATACAAAGATCATTGGAGGATAGAACAGGGCAAGGAATACAATGTTACGGCTGCAGAGAAGGGGCACAAACAGCGAGATCAACATTAGATTTGAAATTTGAGAGGTCCATTCAGAACCCTGATAACAGCAGGGGAAGAAGCTGTTCTTGAATCTGTCGGTACGTGTGCTTAAGCTTTTGTATCTTCTGCTCAACGAAAGAGGTTGGAAGAGATTATAACCGGGTTGGGAGGTGTCTTTAATGATGTTGGCTGCCTTTCCCGAGGCAGTAGATGGAGTTCATCGATGGAAGGCTGGCTTGTGTGATGGACTGGGCTGTGTTCACAACTCACTGTAGTTTCTTACAGTCCTGGGCAGAGCAGTTGCCGTACCAGGCCGTGATGCAGCTTGATAGGATGCTTTCTGTGGTGCATCTGTCAACGTTGGTGAGAATCCTTATGGACCATAAATTTAGGCCAAAGCTAGTTGGGGCAGCACAGTGGCTCAGTGGTTAGCACTGCTGCCTCACAGCGCCATGGACCTGAGTTCAATCCCATCCTCAGGTGACTGTCTGTACGCACACTCTCCCTGTGTCTGTGTGGGTTTGCTCTGGTTTCCTCCCACAGTTCCAAAGATGTGCAGGTTAGGGGTGGATTGGCTGTGCTAAATTAGCCATAGTGTCCAGGGATGTGCAGGCTGGGTGGGTTAGTCTTGGGAAATGCACATAGGGTAGGGGGAGTGGGTCTGGGTGAGATGCTCTTCAGAGGGTTGGTGTGGACTCGGTGGGCCGAATGGCCTGATTCCACGCCATAGGGATTCTAGTCTATCTCAATTTCTTTCCTTATATCAACACCAGCTCTCCAGCAGAAATAGCCCTTGGCCTTGAACTTAGGCCAGCTGTTTAACTGCAGTGTGCATCAAGTCTTAACCCAGTGCTGCCCCCGCCTGACATTCAGCCATGCATCTTCCAGCGCAGACTGCCTCATTGTGACCCAGGGTAAAAGAAACTATTAGATCCGCCCTCCATAGTTGACTGACACTGTGTCCAATTCATTCTGGGACAGAGTTTTGAGAAGGGTTTTTTTAAATTACTTGTTCACAGGATGCTTTCAAGGAGGAGTTGGATAGAGTCCTTAGGGCTAAGGGGATTAAGAAGTATGGGGGAGAATATGATTGTGGCTTTGAGTGGTGGAGCAGGCTTAAGGGGTCCGAATAGCCTACACCCACTCCTATTTTCAGTGATTCCAGGCCGGTATTCATTGCCCACTCCTGGGGCAGTTAAAACAGCCACATTGCTGTGGGTCTGGAGTCACATGTAGGCCAGAGCGGGTAAGGATGGCAGTTTCCTTCCCTAACAGACATTAGTGAACCAGATGGGTTTTTCCGGCAATCGAGAATGGATTCATGGTCATCATTAGACTCTTAATTCCAGATTTTTGTTGAATTCAAATTCCACCATCTGCCGTGACGGGATTCAATCCCAGGTCCCCAGAATACTATCTGGGTCTCTGGATTAACAGTCCAACGATAGTACCACTAGGCCATTTAAAGCCCAGTACCATTTCAGTACATAAGCAGTAAACAGTGAGGAAACGTTGACGACCCACTCCTATCACTGCTGCCCAGTACTGTGCACAAAAGCCAGAAGATCAGTAGAGTACAGAAACTGAAAGATGTTGGCTGTAGTGTTTAATTGGTCTACGTTCCATTATGTGGGTCTGGTCACTGATCTGTGGTCACTGTGCTCAATTGGTTATGTCAGGGTGTGGACTCCGAGCAAAGGAGGCATGGAAACTACCAGAACTGAGCTACAGTTATGAGGGCGGCCCTTCTGGGATTGCAGAGTTATTTCAAAGCTTTCACAACTAAACCGGTTGCAGATTGACAAATTACAGTTATCTCTGCATTTATCTGAGAGATAGAAAATTTACAACAATGGTTGGAACAGGGGTTATGTAAAGGAAATGGACTGGGGAGAAGTGTGATAGATAGAGAGAGCAAGTGGATCTCAAATCATGGTCTCTGGTGGTTTGTGGGAGCTCTTTACTGCTTAACACAGAACAAGGCCATACGAGAGAACATTCTAGAATCTCCACCTCTGTAAGAGTCACACAGTTTGACCAGTCACTGCGCAAGCAACCTGTGCTTTGTTAACCCTGAGAAATAAAATTTATAGCTTTCTCAGGGAGATTGGCATTACTAGAAATTCTTGTTTAATTTATATCAAAGTACAAAAATAATGAGCTTTATGCAGAAAAGGAGGAAAGGAAGCGTTGGAAAATTGAGTTGAATTTGCAGCATGTTTGAATATTTCTGATAAATATGCTCATTTGTCATGCTAATGTTGCAGTATTGAAATGGTTGGTTCTGTCAGGAATTAATGATTTAATGTGAATATTTCATAAGATTATTAAGTCATTTTTAGGATCCCTACAGTATGGAAGCAGGCTATTTGGCCCATCAACCCTCTTAAGAGCATTCTACCCAGATGCACACTATCCCTGTAAATCCTGCATCCCCACGGCTAACCCACCCAGCCTGCACGTCACTGGAAACTTTGGGCAATTTAGCCTGGTCAATCCACCCTAACTTTCACATCTTTGGGACTGTGGGAGGAAACTGGAGCACCCAGAGGAAACCCACACGGACACGGGGAGAACATGCAAACTCCACACAGACAGTCATCCGAGGGTGGGATCGAACCCGGGTCCCGGGTGCTGTGACGCAGCAGCACTAACGACTGAGCCGCCATGCCACCCTATTAGAGCATTAACGTTCATATGGAATATTATTTAATGTAATGAATTAATGGATTTTTGTTGTTTTTAAAAAGACCAGCAAAATATTTAAACCTGTTGCACGTTGAGATTAATTTTCTGTCAGCAGGTCAAGTGAAACAACAGGTAAGTGATCCATGGGATCATTTGTCAGATTTAATTGGTCCGCAGGTGTCCAAGGCTACGAATGGCTTATGGATTGTATTTTGCACTTTCCCTGATTTGGGGGATCTTGTGGCGCAGTGGTAATGCCCCTCCCTCTGGGCCAGGAGGCCTGGGTGCAAGTCCCACCTGTTCCAGAGGTGTGCGGTACCCTTGCCATTCACCTTATCTGTGCCCCTTTGTGGCTTTATAAACCTCAATAAGGTCACCCCTCAACCTCCAACGCTCCATTGAATAGAGCTCCAGTCTATTTTTATATATCAGACCTTCCATTCCCGGCAACATCCTGGTAAATCTTTTCTGAGCCCTCTCCAGTTTTATAACATCCTTCCTATACCAGGGAGACCAGAACTGCACACAATACTCCAGAAGAGGCCTCACCAATGTTCCGTACAGCCTCAACATGACATCCCAACTCGATTTAGCCGTTGTGCTATAGTGGTAGTGTCCCTACCTTTGACCCAGGAGATTTGGGTTCAAGTCCAGCCTACTCCAGAGTTATTGTAACAATTAGGGAAGGTATCTACAGACCAGGAAGTGTGACAAACAGAGGGAGGTTCTAGGGATATTGTCAAACATAATGCAAAAAATCCACCTTAGGGAGTGGATCGCAGTGAAGTGGAGTTCATTTTAATTGCAAGGAGGACAACATTTGCATTTATATATCACCTTTCACTACCTCAGGACTTCCCAGAGCACTGCATAACCAAGGAGCTAGTTGCTGTTTGTAAGAAAGGCAGCAGATAATTTGTGCACAGTCCAATCCCACAAACGTTAACGTACTAAAGACACGGTGATTTTTTTTAAAAATTCTTTTACGGGCTGAATGCTAGGCCAGCATTTATTGCCCATCCCTAATTGCCCAGAGGGCAGTTAAGAGTCAACCACATTGCTGTGGGTCTGGAGTCACATGTAGGCCAGACTGGGTAAGAACAACAAATTTCCTTTCCTAAATAACATTAGTGAACCAGACAGCATCTTCCTACAATCGACAATGGTTGCCATTAGCCAGGTTTTTAATTCCAGGCAAATTGAATTCAAATTTCATAATCTTTTAGGACTGAGATGAGGAGAGATATCTTCACCCAGACAGTGGTGGAATTCTTTGCCTTAGAAAGCAATCTGGACCAAGACTTTGAATGTTTTCAAGCACGAAAATGGAGGGAGTCTCATAGAAACCTATAAAATTCTAACCGGACGACACAGAGTAAACACAGGAAGGATGTTCCTGAAGACCAGGGTGTCCAGAACCAGGGGGTCACAGTCTAAGGATACAGGGCTGATAGGAGGAGAAATGTCTTCACCCAGAGAGTGGGGAGCTTGTGGAATTCTCTGCCACAGAAAGGGGATGAGGCCAAAACTTTGGATGTTTTCAAGAAGAGTTAGATATAGTTCTTAGGGATAAAGGGATCAAAGGGTGTGGGGAGGAGAGAGGGGAGAACCAGAGACTGAGTTGGATAATCAGCGACGGTCGTACTGAATGGGGGAGCAGGCTCGAAGGGCCGAATGGCCTACTCCTATCTCCCTGTCTTTCTATGTGGTGTCGGTTAAAATTGGGCCAGGCCAACAGGAAGATCTCCCCAACTCTGCTTCAAAACAGCGCGGCTATAAGGTCTTTATCAATCACTGAGGCACCCCTGTTGAAGACGGTAAATCTGACAGTGCAGCACCCCCCACCTCAGCGCCGCTCCTGATCACCCCCCCACCCCCACCGCCGCCCGATGGGAGCTCTCACTGTCTGCAATCGGAGACCGCGCGCACGGACAATCACCGCAAGCACAAAGTCGACTCTCTTTGATCTTGCTTACCCCAGGCGAGGAAATCCTGGACGTGTTTCTGTCCTGTCAAAACAGACTGGCTTAGCTCCTCGACCACACAGACAAAAACATCCAGCAGCCCCTCGAGACCGAGCAACCTCCCCGTTAAAGTCAGCGACTCTAACTCTCTCAGTCTCACCTCCGCTGACATTTCTGTTTTAAAGTCACACTCGTGAGGTTCGAGCTGGAAAGTCATTTCGATTGCTGCTCTGGATTGTTAAACTGGACAAACTCTTTGACACATCCTCCCTGACAGTGGTTCGCCATTCTCTCTCCCTCCTGTTGTTCTAACATTGCCCTCTGTGCCAGGGTGATGAACTATTTCTGCCTGCTCTGAATTGCTGGTGACCACAATGCGCACAGCTCTTAAAGCAAGAATTATCAGTGCATACTGAATATTTTGCACATATTGAATTACACACCGTCGTGGAAAAACATTTTGATTTTTTGGTAGAAAGGGCAATTGATTACAATCTTCACCATAACTGTACTCAATGTCATTGTCAGATAGAGTACAGCGCCCACCAATATTAGGTACATAGAGAGTAAAGCTCCCTTTACTCTTATAAACTGAAAGTAAAGCTCTCTCTACACTGTCCCCCATCAAACGCTGCCAGGACAGGGACAGCACGGGGTTGGATACAGAGTAAAGCTCTCCCTACACTGTCCCCATGAAACAGTCCCAGGACAGGGACAGCATGGGGTTAGATACAGAGTAAAGCTTCCTCTACTCTGTCTCCATCAATTACTCCCAGGACAGGCACAGCACAGGGTTAGATACAGAGTAAAGCTCTCTCTACACTGTCCCCATCAAACACTCCCAGTACAGGGACAGCACGGGGTTAGATACAGAGTAAAGCTCTCTCTACACTGTCCCCATCAAACACTCCCAGGACAGGGACAGCATGGGGTTAGATACAG